GCACTCATACACTTACATTGACAAGTTTGTTGAGAGAGTTGCATCTTCAGATTTCATGGGCTTATTAAAGTTGAATAGGTTTGCTTGAATGCCGGGAATATATTTGACTCTGTAGCCATTATACTGTGAACACAGAAGCACAAAATTGTACTTGTCCTCTGTGTATGCTTCTTTATAAGCATTGCAGCAGTAATCACAACATCTAGCATACATGTATGTACAGACTATCTCAATATATATAGGACCCGTTAATATGATAACAATTAATTATTGAGACAAGAAACTGAGACAAGCTTACGTGTCTTTGAAGCTGATGTGATGACAATTAAAAAAGCAATGATTGAGCATGTCTCTAGTTCCAAGGATGCATTTTTTAAAGCAGGTGTTATAAATGACCGAAATTTCGCTGATGAAATGCTTGAATTCGACGACGTAGTTGTCAATCACCCTGACGCATTCTTCTTTCGGTATGGCACGTTTCTTTTCTATGTGAACACCCTTACCTGTACGACATATCTTCAATGTACAAATCACAGATAAGTGTATATCTGCACAAAACTAGTTCCAAGGAGAATTTTTTTTTGCTGGGATGATTGGATTGATCAATTGTAGCGTCACATTCTTCTGTCAATGTGACTGTCATAAGATAAATTTATTGTTTTCAACCTAAATAATACATGTAAAGCTAAGAAAAATAAAGGATATTGTCCTTTTAACTTCTAGCAGTGTATTAAAGTAATATAATAGGTAAATATAGAATATTACCCAACACTCTGTGTGAGTCAAAGTGTTTGGAATAAAAACAAAAATGTTAAATGTTATTCAGTTCAAAATAGATCGTCTACATTTTCTGTGAAAGCTTGCGAAGACTGTCAACCCCAGTATTGATTAAAGTAACTGGCAACATGAAAAATTGCAGAAGTGACAGGTATTGTTTTCACAAGTGGTATTCATATCAATGTCTTTCCGTGCATGGATTAGCGCTGAAAGTATAAAAAATGCACTGTAATTGGCATGGTGAACCTTAGAACAGATAAAGAATCTTGCTTCTGACCGACATTTTTGTTTTGTCTCCAGTGATTTGAAAATTCTTTTGCTAGTCTGTTTTCTCTTTCGGATTCTTTCCAGACAGAACATTACCGGAGGGCCTATACAGGGTGGTCCATAAAAAAAATCACCTACCATCTCTATTTAAAATAGGTTGTTTTATGAACCACCCTGTATATATGTGCGCCATCGGTACTAATTTTGTAATTTTTTTTATTGAGGACTTAAAACGGTGCATGCGTCTTATCAATGGTTCAATGTACTGACATGGCTTGGGAATCCATTTTGGCCGTTGTAAGTAGGGGCTAGGCTGTACAGTATGTAGCAGATCAAGTCTAAATTGCTCCAGGTGCCTATGTTTTGTGGAATTCGGATTGAGATCCACTTTAACCACCGATTAATTTTTTATGACATTGTAAGTGTGTGAGTAATAAACCAATCTTTGCATTTAGGAACAAACTTCTAGTCAATCTTGTTTATCTGAACTTTTAGAGTCCATTCCCACAGATATTTACATCGATCTATCCCCCTGGGGAATCTCACTAGATTGCTGTCAGCTGAACCGGCTTAAATGTCTGTCCCGCCTACTAGGGGGTAATTAACTTTTGTGGGCGCTCGGCTCCCGGAAGCTGGCAGCAATTTAGTGAACCCCCAGGGAGCTAGGTCGATCCAGATGGATCGATCTAAATCTGTGGGAACCCAGTCTTAATTAGGAACAGATTCTATGTCCACGTCAATTTTGAATAAGTATTTATTTTGTGACTTTCGATGTGTTTAATATACTGTAGCGATTTCGCTTTTGGAGACAACATTTGTTTTTCCCTTGGTGTGAATAATAATAATAATAATCATTTTATATCGAGCACAGAGCTGCTTGGTGGTTACAAATAACCACCTTGCCTCTTGAAACCAAAAGCAGTCTTACCTTGAGGCATCTGGAAAAGTTTGGTTAGTACTTCAAACCATTTTTTCTGAAGGGCATCGTTGAAAGATTGGTTTATTAATTTGGATATACGGGATGGTTAACCAGTCGATTTTAAGGTTGCAACTGGCGTCCACGAAACACTTTCCTTCTTGCTAGTATTTCTAACTACAACGGCGAAGAGAAAGCAAATAAGAAGTGGAACGTAGACAGTAAAATCCCATTAAGTTCGTCAACTGGGTAAATAACAAAGCCATTTTTGTGAAGATATATGAAATCTGGAAAAAACGATTTCAAATGATTCACTAAGATTGCAAAATGGACTGCTTCACCCTCTAATGGGCACAGTTAATGGTAGGTTCAAACAAAGATTTGGAGCAGCTTAATTTTTAGACCAGATAAATGTGCATGTCAAACTTGCATCTGGAGTCTAATGGTTATAGGGCCAGTCATGTTTTATACACGTAAGGAATCCTGTTAACACTGTATACTTAATTTGCATGACAAAATCATTTGTAAGACATCAAATGGATTTTGAACAAATTTGATTGCGAATATGTTTTGAATATTTATTATCAATCATAATCGGGGTCAATCATAACAATAACAATAATATATCAAAATTAAGTTACAGCAGAAGTTGTAAAAATAGATTGAATATAAATTATGGCTTAAGTTCTTGAAATATAATCTAGCACATGAAGGGAAAAGCTTGTACATGTATTAGACGTTGCATTAGTGAATTACTTATAATCTAGAACCCACTAGTAAGTTTTGCATTTATGATATTTCTCACATGTTTAGACTGCAGGGAAAACGGTTTTGATATTATCTTCCCTAAATTAATATGAGAAAAATAGCCACTTTACATTCGTAAAGCTTTCTTGCTCTCCTGCTTGCTATCTTGCTTGCGTGCTTGCGTGTATTGGTCACAATATACAACTAGGTCACATAATCTAGAATTTCAAAATTTGATAAGGAACAAGAAATAACAACAGTGATTTTATTTCCAGTCTGTAATCTTAGTAGAGGCGGTACCTCTTAGATTTTTTGGCTTAATGATTTGGCAAAATTAAATTTGGTGACCATGACACGTGATCGCTTTTGCTGGGCTGATTTACTTCTTTTGCATCCTTCTTTCTAATTTCAACTGCATGACAATGCAAAATATTGACTACGTCGTTTATGACAAAAAGGCTGGGTCCGTGAAATGTTCAACATCCCAGTTTATCATAAACACGGGAGAAAATTCCGTATTTGATTCAATATCGGAACATATTCGTTCTCAGACCATATTAGTGTTTTTAATTGTCAAATTTTGCTCTGCATATCTTATGAATGAGACAGAAAAATGGATATTAAATAACGCGTGTTCTTGTTGTCTAGCTTAATGAAAAAACTCATTGGGCCATAAATATTGCTGAAAATTAATATGTTCTTCCCTTTTCTGATAAGCTACATAGTTTGGTTAAAGGACAATACCATTTCAACCAAATTTAAGGAATGTTTTGGTTCTTGTACAAAGTCAAATGTTATGCAGTATACAGAACTTAAAAAATACCACAACACATCACGATTTTGGATTAAAAATGTAAAAAAAAATATCTTCATACAATTCCATTTAATTATTCAATATCCATGGCCACCTGACCATTTGTTATAAGTTCCAAGACTGCAAGACACAGGTGTGCACTTCATGTCATTCGTGGAAAAATATAACTTTAATTTAGAGAGAGAGAGAGAGAGAGAAAGAGAGAGAGAGAGAGCCTTTGGTGTTTATTACTTGGCATCCTACTTGGAAATTACTAAGACTAATTAACTTACCGTGTACCGAGCACTCTGAGAGTTTAGAAAGTCTCAGCATCTCACGCCAGGAAGCCAAACTGACAACACGCATATCACCTTAATTGCGTTAGCAACGGGTGGAGCGACAGAGAAATTAGATTTGCTTCATGTGGAGAGCTAATCGTAGTGAGATGAAAATGAGAATGTTCGTTATAATGAAACATGAAACGGCTATTATTGCAATATATATATATATATATATATATATATATATATATATATATATATGTGTGTGTGTGTGTATGTGTGTGTGTGTTTTGGGGTTGTATGTATGTATGTATGTCAATATAACAAATATACGGTAACCTCCCCGCCTACCCGCCATTTTTAGCATTAAGGGTGTGTGTGTGTGTGTGTTACAGGTGGGACAGCCCTATTTTGACTAATAGTGTGTGTGTGTTTGTTTACAAATGATCTCCTCGCAGCTGTCAACCATTTGAAAAAGGATATAACATGCATTCAAAAAAGTTAACTTTTTGTACCACAGTAATACGGTGTCCAATTTGATAGATATACAGGTATATCTAGATAAGAAATGTCCAGGAATGAAGAATGATATGAGGGTCTGAGAGCCTGTAATTATGTGTGTATGTATGTTATGTTCGATTTCACTGGTTCAAGTTGATAATAAGAATATTTTCGAACCGCCTAGACTTGTTTATTTCTCTGATTACCTTCAGATATAGTTATAGGTAATATAAATATAATGAGCACGTTTTCACACCACGAGTTGAACTAGTTTACGACTTGTCCTAGATAATCATTATGGAAAATATTTAATAATCGATTAAATATCGATTACGCTTTTTATACCTGTGCCATTTTGTTTCGTCATTAGATTAGAACAGCTATACTTCAAAGTACGTTACTATTGATTCTGACGCTTTGCACTGCGCATGCATCGTTACGTAAACTAGATTTTAATAAGTGACACGCGCCACCCTTATACAGATTGGTCACAGTGGTGAAATATTCCACCAACTGCAAGAAAGGACCCAATCAGCACTTTTGATTAAGTGGCAGCGCTATGAAAGTAAGTCAGACGCACTTTCTTCCGCGATAAATAACCGACATGCCCAACTCAATCTGGTCACGAAAATTGTCTGTCACCATTGATCATTCTTTGCATATACGTACCTGTAAGTAACACACAAATCTGACTCTTTTGTGTATTTTTTCTTTACAGATTTTTCCCATCATCCGAAGAAGTAAATGTTCATAAAGTATGCACAAACAATGAGAGCTTTTGTCAAGGTTGAAAGTAGGAGAACAAAGTGAGAAAATATGGGCTGTGATGGTGCAAATTGAGTGTAGAATGAAAACATTTATTGCATCTCTAGACTTCAATTGTCGGCTGTTTGTCATGGTTGTCGGCTAAATGACCACACCCCTCAAGATGCTGAAGCTGAACGGAGGATTGTCATTTGCTATTCTCTGCATATACTGCCACTTGGTGCAAAATCTCTCTGCTCATGTCGTCCCGTCGAATAGGTCAAGAGGTGTCAAAATAGGATTCTTACCTGCAATGACAGTTGGAAAAGGCAAACAATTTGCAGGCGCTTTTCTATACGGATTAGAACACATAAACAAGGAATATAACTTGTCTGTAGACTACATGTTCGAAGATAACAAGGTCGACACGTTTGAGTCAATAAAAGCGATGACGAATATGTACCACGAAGTTTCCGCATTTGTCGGCCCAGAGGGTACCTGCAGGACAGAAGGTGTGGTAGCCGCGGCATGGAACTTGCCAATGATTGCCTTTGTAAGTAGTGCTAATTGCCGTTCTTTATTTTCAGATTATCACCAGCTTAATGTTAATTGTAGTATTAAATAGCCGTTATCTCTACTCTGAGGTAGCAGCTCACGTTCCCCCTACCTCATTTCTGAAACAAGGATCACAGCGTCTTGCATACTCAGGCCTCATAAAGAATAATTGCCATTTTCGATCACGAACCTCAGATTTGTGAGGACGAACGCCCAACTGTAATCTCGATTTCTTGGAACGAATTTAAATTCAGTGGCCACGAGCACCGCATCAAAGGGCACAAATATTCGGCTAACTTTCATCTGGGTCTCTAGGTGTACACATACATTGTACGGTGTCCTTTTCTCAACCCCAAAACATTTTCAATATGGCAGAAGATACATGAAACTGCACGTGTAGTGAGAGCTTTCGAAGATTCTTAGTTGAAAAATAATGACACTTTCTCCACTTACTTCTTTACCTAAAGAGACAAGATTTTTCACGTCTAAACCAAGGCTCAACAGAGTGACTAAAGATTTATTTACAGAATTTGTGGCGGAGAGTAGTGTTGGTTGCCGTGATCACTCTGTGCTTAAAAAACGAAAATGAAGTCTCAAAACAAATCCAACTAATGTAATTATATAATTTACTACCCATACTGCGTATTAATGCGGGATTAATGCACTCACGTCAATTAGCTGCGGCTCATACCTCACGTTCCGAACAGGTAGGTAAGCGGATTATTGGTTCGTGGTGTGAAGTACCGTGCTCCTGGCCGCTAATTTTACGTTCTCGCCATGAAATCGTGGTTTGATTTGTTAATTTGGGCGTTCGTGCTCACAAATCCATAGCTCGAGTTCGCAAACGGCTAATTCGTTTACACGACCTGATACTAGTCTCATGCTACAAGCAGTCTCAACTAAAAGTGTAATCAGTGAGGATTGAATGTGGGTGGGGTAATTATGCTGGTTGCAAGTGGTATCTTTTAAAAAACAGGAAGTCACTAGTCACTGTGCGTACAACATAACCGGTGAATATATCTATAGCAGGCCCGTACCTAGCAATTTCAAAAGGGGGGGGTCTTTTTTCTGGAAAAAGATAACTTTTACCATAAAACCTTTATGTACCTAGATAAAATTTTACCCAAAGAGACCTTTTCCTAGCAAAAAAGGGGTTCTTTTGAACCCCCGAACCCCCCTGGTCTGTACAGGGACTGTCTATATTCTAGAACCTCTTTAAGAATGGTTCAATTAGTATCGTATTTGGATCTCCCGTTGTATAACTTTATTTGTCTTGATTAGTCTTCGCATGTCGCAAAAATGTCTGATGATACGGGGTATAATGTATAATTTGTACTCATACATGTAGGACTTGGTGTATTTATAAATTGGCCAACAGTATAGGCCTATTCAAAAATATTTGTCTCATTTGTTCTTGTTGCCATAAAAATTATCTAAATTTTCAGTAAAGGTACTTCTCCTTCACGCAAAATGAGTGCAAAGGTCATTGTTTTTCGATATGTGGTTAAGTTCGCGGTTAATCGAGGTTTTGTATGTAGACAGCCTCGCTGATTGCTTAGTAATTATCCTCGAGGAAGTCAGTCTAGCAATTATTTGAAATCTGCTACTGCATTGTACTTGACGTGATTTATCGTCTCATTTGAACGTCAGTTATGATTACATGAGCAGATTCAGTAAAATCTAACGAAGAAAAGAAGAGATACATGTAAATTCGTTTTCCCTCATTCCCTCAAGGTCAGCACACCTTATCGAAGCGGTGGCCTTGCAAGGCAGTCCTCTCGGTTCAACGTCCGGAATGTTTTTCTTTTTCTTTTCTTCTCTTTTCTTTTATTTTTAAATTTTTTTTTCGGGTTGGGGGGGGGGGGGTTGCCTAGTGAATATGTAAGCCATTAGTAAACTTTTTCGATGCTATGTACTCTTACTTTTTTATAAGTTTCTAGTTCGAACTTAAAAGTTTTGAATTTTGCTAGTCGCGAGACCAGCGTCTCATCTTTGAACGCAGGATCTAACATTGCGCATGGCATGGCCGGCAGATGCTGACTTCGCATGTTATTTTAGAGACGGAGGTACAGATGCCAATAAAAATGTTCCTGCAGTTTTTCAGACAATGATTAGCAGAGAGGTTAAAAAAGGAAATATCAAATATCTAAACCGGTGTTCTTTTTAACTCTAACTCTAACTCTAACTTTTATTTTTAATTATTTTTGTTTATCCTCAGAAATGTCCCGATTCTGGACTGTCGTACAAGGTACATTACCCTACTTTCGCTAGAACACAGCCCTCCACATTCAAAGTTTCAAAGTCCGTGATCGCCTTGATGAAGTATTTCCAATGGACGAAGACAGCGTTGATAGTGGGCAACAGAACCATCTGGCTGGAGACTGCAGCCGCTGTCAAGGAATTGGCTGACCAGAACGACATTAGCATAACAGTGGAGAGAATTTTTGAAGATAAATTTACAACGGCTATGAATGACATTGTAGACGAAACCCACCAACACACAAGGGGTAGGTTCATTAATTGATTATGTTGTACTCGTAATTAATCTGTTCAAACGAACATAAATGATTTGCTAACTCTTCACTCTTATTTTTGATAAATTAAAGCAACTACTCAACCTGTATTAATTGCTACACAATCGAGCCGTAGCGAACTAGAAAATTACATTGTAGACGGAACCCACCAATATACAAGGGGTAGGTTTATTAATTTAGCATTTTGTCGCGTTTACACGGGAAGATCGCGCAGGGCGTGTTTGCGTGACTGCAAAAGGTTATCCAAAGCCCGTTGCGTTGTATATAGTATGTTTGACACTCTACAACACTTTTGATAGATACCTACACCCTATCAAAATGGCCGCTATCGACATCGTCAATCATAAACTCATCTATATATCAACTCAGTCAATTTCTTTAAGCTTCACTGTTTAATAATAATAAACGTGAATTAAATTATTGAATCAATAATAGGGCACGGCATATAATAGGACACAGCATATTCCATTCACGTTGCATGCAGATCATTTTATCGTGTTAGACAAACCCTGCGATACATGTAAATGCATAAGCATGTACACTTTTAAGATACCACCTAACTAATAGAGCTCCGTGGTTTGGCTCTGGGTTTTCGATTCCTTGTTTTGTCGACCGGCTGATTGAAATGACATCAGTTGGAACACCGCAGCACTGTAGATCAATAGATGTTTCGCAGCCGATAAGTGTGAAGACAATTAACAACCAAGCCCCTTGTTTGAATATAAGTTAAGACTATGTTTTCCTTTATTATGGCAGGAATCAAATACAGACGCTTTGCTCGGCATTGCTCGGAACTTTCATTGAAAAAACTACCGAAAATGGTAGGCCTTTGCATTAAGTGGGAGACAGGGGGACGTGACACCAAAACACAGCCACAAACCGTACATCATTCGGACTTACACAAATCAGACCTGTATACAAAATCATACGAAATTAATAATGTACTTGTACTTGAGTAGCCGATAAAACTGGGCTTAAGCACTCAATGTATCTACTGGTGCTTAACTCTTATTGAGGCATTCACGGTCGGTGGTAGCCAGTAGTCAGTAGAATGCAGTAATGATGATATTAGTTTGCTCGTCGCTTTTTCAGACAACAATCAGTTTTTGAGTGTAATAAGTGATAGGTTATCCAAGTAAAAACATGAATGCTAATTTAAAAAAATCTACAAGACATTGCAAGAACACTTCTGCAAGAGGATATGAGAAACTTATTTTTCCATTCGTGAATTGTATGGCACTATCAGTGATCAGGCATGGTTCATATTAGGTCACTGACTCACTGCCATCAGTCATCCAATGTCTAAATTCACAGAGTTATTTAAGAAAAAGTATCACAGAATAATATAACGCATTTAATGGAAATTGCCCTCTGAAAAATATGCTGGAAACGGCAAAAAGGCAGGTATGTTTCCTGTGTACTTCTGACAAGAGCCTTAATTAGGGTTTCTGTCACAAATCCTTTGTAATTTGTAGTCCGCCGTCAATATTTGACAGAAATCTTTGCCATAGTTCCGTAAAGATAGAAGCTAATTTCTTATAAAACGCGAAATCGTTATTAGAGTAGTCAGATATTGCTGTAGGCGATGTCAGATATATGATATCATTAACTGCCTTCGTCATTATTTTCTGCGTTATCATATCTCGCAGCTTCCTGTATCTTTTTACCTCCGCCAAGGAAGTAATGTTTTCTCCTCCTATTGACTGTTTGTTCGTCACCAACCTAACTAAAAAGTTGAGGATGGATTCTGAAAAAATTCTTAGGTCAGAAAAATTAATAGTGATCAGATTTTGGTGATGACCCATCAATCAATTAATGAGTTATTACTAGTTAATTATTTGTCTAGGTTAAGGTCTGAGCTCTCTGAGTGTTTTTCTAGTGCTGTTTTTTTTTTTTTTTTTTTTTTTTTTTTTTTTTGTGGGGGGGGGGGGGGCACAGCAGGATCCTCAACATGTTCCATGGATCTTAAAACCTCTTTTTACTTGCACATGTAACACTTTGGCCTATAACAATTTTAGGTAGACCCTGGGGAGTGCGGAGACCCTGCCAGCAAGCAGCATGCTTTATCTATCTCATTCCCTAAAATGAGATTAACTATACACCCGCAGATTCATGTTTCATATTTACTGGATATTGTAAAAGGGGCTTTTGGTTTCCTCATTATTGATATTTTGGCTCCATTTTTAGTGATATTTCGTGTTCATCCTACGTTAGCAATAGTGCCGTCTTAACAATAGTTTTATTTTTCATCTATTCAACAAAAGCAAAACTAACAGGTATTTTTTAAAAAGTTATTTACTTTACATTTCAGTGTATGTTATTCTTGGAAACCGGTTTGCGTCCATCAACTTCGCCCGTTATTTGTACGATTCCGGTTTACAGAAGAATGGGGAATATGTTGTAATTTCTGTCCAGGAGCAGCCATTTCAGCCGTCCAATATAAAAAGATATGTTGCAAAATGTGAGTATCTATATAATTGCACTACGTAAATGAAAAAGGCAGTAACTATAATGTAATACTAATACGGATGTATGTATATATCTTCCATAGTATATATATATATACATAACACTTCATGGTACAATGCTCTTGTTTCATTAATAACTTTATGTAATATACATTGTAAGTACTTCATACGCTTACATGTATAAATCTATCTTCCAGTTCCATATTATAAAAGTGACAATGACTTAACTCTTGAAAGAATAGATGCATTCAGAGCGGTGTTGACACTTGCCCTTCGACCGCCTTCTAATCCGAACTATGAAGAATTTCTGGACAAGACAAGAAATTATTCTAGCGAGAAACCCTTCAATGCACCCCATAAAATGATTCCGGGGAAAAAATTTCCGGTGAGATTTTTTAAAAGAATGCGGTCTGGTTTTAAATTTCCCCGAAATACGCAGTACGTAATGGCGTCTTTATCATCTTTAGGCATCTCTCATATCAACTGGACAACAGTGATCGTTACTTTCGGAGACCTGCCGATAAGAGAAAGTAAAAAGCTGATATCATTTTATATTAGTGTAATTTCGGGTACCAGTCTCGGTAAAAGTGCGTTTCAAATCTGAAACTATTCATTGATTAAAGAATGCCTGCAAAGAATACCTTAGGTGGTGTTGGATTGGGTTAAAGGTGACTGGTATTATTATTATTATTAATATTAATAATAATAATAAATTTTCAATTCTGAGACTGCGAACGACCATCGATATTTTTTAATTATGTTAGACATTGATACGATAATTCTTACGTTACAATTGAGAAAATACAAATGCCATTTATGAATGGTTGATGAGTTGTAGCACACTTAATCTGTTTTGAATGTGCATTTTATTGAGGTACTGGTGGTCTCTTTCTTGTCGAACCAGCTTCTGGTCTTAATATTCGCATCTAAATCGCTGGTATTGTAGCATAACAAAGTACGCTTTTAAATGTATTTTCATAGGTCCCCATTTACGCCGCTCACCTTTACGATGCCGTCGCTATCTACGGTCGGGCACTCAGCGAGGTTTTGGCCATGCCAAACGGTAAACCTGATGACGGAAGGGCTATCTTTAATCAAATTAGGTCCAGAGCATTTAAAAGTAAGTAATCCTAAATATGGCAGTCATAATGAGCATGCTATGTTTACATTATAAATTTTCCTTAACTGTAACAGTAATTCAAAAGTGTACAAATAGGCCTGTTAGTCTTTAGAATGCAAATAAAACACACGGTTTGAAAGAGCAGTAGAAAAGAAACTACTGGAAAATGATTTTCTCAGAATTTGCCTTTGATTTAAATAGCACACCTTTTTCCAGAAAAGGACGTAGATGTCATGAAAACGTAATTTACAGAGAAAAATTCAACACTGAATTGAACGCTGACCAACTGGGTCTGAACCACGCGCACGCGTGTCAATCTCCTTTTCAATCTAGATTTTTGCTAGAAAACTAGCAGGGTCCTCAATTTTTGCTCGCATGTGACGGTTAATAAATAACAAGTTAAAGATGCCCATTAACTGCAGGTGCATTGTGAAATCAAAAAATTCTCCAGTTACTCGTTCGTCTCCACTGCAGTGTATTAGAGTTTAGATTGGAATGAGGTTTCATTTGATTACAAGCACTTTTTTCTTAAGGCTCCAATAAAGCCAAATAAAATGTTTTTACCGAAGCACTAGAACATCTTGGGCTGATAAGGCCAAAGAATGAAAACACGAGCTGCAAGGTACACTCCAGGCAACCCCTTCTGTTACACCTCAACAGCAAAATATTTACGTACACGTTGTAAATTTGGGAATCTGTAACGGTCTGTCTGTTTTAAAAAAATCGGCGTGGATCCAGATTGAACTGCGTATTAGAGTTTTGGCATCTTCTCTTTTTTTCTCAGTCCTTGTTTGATACCTAAGCAAATGAAACAAGTTTTTTTATATCTTTATTCACACCCAAATATATTTGGGGTTATTTAGTTAAAGGATATTTGACAAGCGATTTGTTTTTGCTTTGTTTCAAGGCATTCAAGGTCATGATGTATTTATTGACGAAAATGGTGACACTGAAGGCAACTACACAGTACTGACCGTTCAACGGGATCCTTCTTTCCCTCGAGGCTGGACAATTCGCTCCGTGGGTGCCTTCACTTCTCGTGACAACAAATCTGCAGTTTTGGTAATCTTAATTTGCACTGAGTTGTACTTTGCCTCAGGCATCCTTTGGAATCGAGTTGAAAAATAGGTTTCTCTTTGTATTCACCTTTCATATAGTCTTGTGTAACTGTCTTACGTGTTTATATTATATCACAAAAGTCTTGTGTAACTGGCCATATTATGAAATTCCCTTTTCCGGAAATCCACAGATTAGGAACTCGAACATAATTAACAAACACCTTTTATTATAACTACCCCCAGGTTTTGGTGTGTTAATTTCATCATGGTACTCTCTAGTCTAAAATCAAGTAAATTAATTGTGCGATAAATCAGTGTCAAATGGCTATACGTTCCTCTGTATGTTCAAGTGCAACAAAAGTAACTGTCCTGGGAAAGGATGCGGATGTCAACACCTTTTTCGAAAAGCAATTACATTATGAAATACTTGCGTTCGATTCCCGAGAGGCGGACCGGAGTAGACGCAAGTTTAACTCCTGTTTTTTATTTCAGGATTTCAATATGCATGGGTCGATTCAGTGGTTGAAAGGGAAAGTACCTGTTTGTGAGCCTCCATGTGGATTTAGAAATGAGAAATGTCAATCAGATTTTGGTAAGGGCGTATGTAAATGAAAATCCATATCTGAGTATGGACGCGTGCTTGTGAGATCTATCAATCTTTCTATCATATGTGACATATATCAGGGTCGAAATCCACGTTCCGATTGTTTGTACCAATTCGAAATTAAACATAATGCGCACCACAGAGTGAAATAATGTAGGCTACGTTTTTTGTTAAAAAATAAGTAAAACTGATGTTATGAGACTTTGATTATATTAATTTATCTATTGTAGATTGGACAGTTGCCTCCGTTGGCTGTGTGTTTGCTGCAGTTTTCGTGGTGATAGTTTCCGTTCTCGGACTTAGGTAAGAAAGCAGTTTCTTTACTTGTTCCTTGATAAGCATGCTTTATGCGCAATTCATTGTCACATATAGATATTGAAACTATTTCCCAAGATTAAGCACAATGACACAGACTCAGACTTTTTACATAGTCGGTTCTTGCATTACATGTGGCCTTCTTGACCTTTGGCCGTCAAATTCTATACATTGATATCATGGTAATGAAGATCAACTTTTAATGCTAGTATTGTCCCATGGCATTATGGCAGCTATTACATGGATCTTAATGGGGTTCGGGCTTTGATTGGGGATTTGAGCATCAGGTAGGAAGGTGAGGATTCAACATGTAAAATGTCGACGGGCTTTATGTTAGTTTTATCATTACAGACATTACCTGTACGAGCAAAAACTTGCCAAACTCCTCTGGAAGATAGACTTTAAAGGCTTACAACTGCCGGAGTCTGACTTGAAGTCTCCTGGGTTGAAATGCGAGGTAAGTTATGTAAATTCAAATGATCAGGTAATGCATTTAAATTCCGCCGTTTTCTCGTTCAATGCAGTCCATATATAAAATGTCTTGACAATGTGTAACAAAAACGGTATCACATTCTTCTTAGAAGTATCTCAGTATTTCTTTCGTGAAGTTTCAACACTAATTCTTAAATGGGTTAGGATATGTGCTTGATAATAATAATAATAAAATATAATAATAATAAAAACAGTAATAATTTATAACTGCAATTGCATCCCTGATATTAGAGTATTACTATGAATGCATACATACATCTATAAAATATTTAAATAAGTCACGTTTCATATCAAGGCCAAAATTGACTATCACAGTTAATTAAGGCTTTAAAAGAAATCTATCAATACTTAAAAGAAATATTAAGATTCTATGCGTTAATAAAGATCTTTTAAACGCCCCGTTTTCACTTAATATCACAAGTTTGCTGTTTTCCCTACGTTTTCTTACCCCTTCCAGAAGCAAATTGCCTAACTTTTCACCGATCTGAATTTTTAGGCCGATATAAAAGTACCTCAACAAAATATCTCTCATTTCCCTGGGGGGCGGGGGGGTGTTGTGAGGTTACCGGCCTGAACGGTGTAACTTAAACCTGAAAAACTATAAACGATCAATTTAAAAGGGGGTAAAATGATATAAAATGTAACCCTACAGTTGAAATAGGCCACTACACATATGCTGATCTCTTCCCAATGCTTGACAGAGGTTTGATTACCTGCCTTTAAGGGAGGCGTAAAATTGAATTCATATCGGCCAGTTTGCAACAGATCTTCCGCTCGATTATAAGCCAACATAATCAACAAACACAAAAACAAACAAGTAACAAATGCAAGTCTAATTCCCTCAGGATTTCTCCGATTTTCGATGTTTGATCAATAATCGCACACCATTGAAGTTAAAAAAACATGTACGCCGTCTTCAGAACAGTTTTCGTGTTTTTCTTTGTTACGTTGATTAAAGCATTGTCATGTCTGGCAAATCTGTAAAGAGGCAAACATTTCTTTTTTTATTAAAATTAGAAACACTCACATTTAAGTATTTTTTATTTTTAAAAAGAACAATATACATCATCGAAATTACCACGTCTGTGTTTTACCACTTTCACTATCAAGACTAATGCGAATAATACACATTTTATATTTAGAGACGCGACAGCACGGATTCTATGGACTTACTAATACCAAGTTCCACGCCACTGGCCCCTTTTACGGAATCCCTTACCCCCTTCCGAAACAACATTCAGATTGGGACATACAAAGGAATGGTTGTGGCCGTGAAGTTCATCAACAGAAAGCCCGTCCAAGTCAATCGTGAAATGAAGAAAGAGCTTCAGCATCGCAAAGACATCAATCACGATAATATCAATCGATTTCTAGGGGCATGCCTGGACGGGCCCCGAGTCTGCGTTGTGTCGCAGTTCTGCTCCAGGGGGAGCCTGCACGTAAGAGGATATTGCTTTTTATTGCCGCCCATAACCATGCACGTAGGAGGCAACTTGCTCAGGGGGATTGAGTGAATGGTCTATAATGACCTAGAATACATTCACAGAGAATAACCAAGCTACATAAAATAAAAGTTTCCTCAAAACCTTAACGGGGGAGGGGGGGGGGCAGTTTATAGGATACCTATCAATTCAAAAGACTACAAAAGAACACCTCAAAATTCCCTTTGGATGTGTGGTTCGATGGTATTTTTCCAGCTTTGGGCCGTCATTTTGGAACCAAAGACGCAACCAAAGTTTATTTTCAACCTGTTTTTCTAAATATCACTGATATTTTTGTGATTTAATCTCAAATACATATATAGCGTTGAATCCAATAGTGATCCCTTCCCTAAATATTTAATGTTTGAAGGTATACAAAGATTCGGCAGGGTAGATGGGGACCCAGGTAGGAATTGCAGCTCAGTTTGTTTAGGCCATATCTCTTATTCGTAGAGAATTTTATGTTCTCTAGTTGTAATAGTACAAGTTTCGTCGACCACTATTGTTTTTGTCCAGCAAAGCGAGGTAATTTTTCATCATTGTGCTCCCTCCTACCCTTAGCAAAAGCCTGTAATCGCTGATGCTAATCGATTGATGAAAGATAGTAATTTAGATAATAGATGAACAAATGAAAATTGATAAAAAACATTATATTTAGTTTTTTTTCAAAGGAATTGCATACACCCCCTTTAACGGCAAGGGTTCCACATAATTCAACTTGTGAATAGCATGTTTAATTCATCTCATCTTAACCAAAATACTTTTACCTTCATGTAATGGGGATACACAAAAAAAGTTGGAAGGAGTGTTAATGGGACCATTCAGATTGAGAAGAGCCGAGTGCTAGTAAGGCCGCGACCTATTTATGGCGGACCTACATGAAAGGAAGACTGCTAATCCTTTAATGGTCTCTCCGCCTCTCACACGCCTCCCCACGCGTTGTCCCTCGACCAGTTGAATTGAGCCGAGATTTAATTACTGTGCCCCTGCAGGGACGACGCGTGGGGAGGCATGTGAGAGGTGGAGAGACCATCACAGGATTAAGTGGTCTTCCTTTCATGTAGGTCTGCCATATTTAGGTCGCGGCCTTACTAGCACTCGACTCTTCTCAATCTGAATGGTCCCAATGTTTAAATCCTTTATTTAAAGGTCAACGTTTTCTGTGGTATTTCAGGACATTCTGGAAAATAACAACATGAAACTGGACGACATGTTTATTGCATCACTGGTCCTAGATCTTATTAAGGTAGGGTGGATATATGAACTTGTTACAGAAACGATGAACTTTCCATCAACACCTATTACTACATGATATCTCGACCTCTTTGACGTAGCTGCGATATTATAATGACTACTATCTACAAAATAGTTAGATGAATTTGAATATTTCCAGGGAATGATATTTATTCATGAAAGTAGGATTGGATCCCATGGTAATTTAAAGTCGACTAACTGCCTGGTGGATACAAGATGGGTTCTGCAGATCTCCGACTTTGGTCTTTACAGCCTGGATTCTCATACAGATCGAAGGCAGAGTGTTGATGGGTTGAATTACTATAAAGGTAAGCTGTTTGCCAAGTTTTGTTCACCTGACCTGAACCAACTGGAAAACGCTTCAACGGTGTACCAGATAGTAAACGAAAGGTATCTGTAAAACAAAACAATATTATATCATGCTTCTGAATCTTGTACACTTTCACCCCTTTTCCATAGGTTTTTAGATCGATCTATCCCTGTGGGGAGTCTCACTAGATTACTGTCAGCTTGACCGGCTTAAGCGTCTGTCCCGCCTACTAAAAGCTGCAAGGGGGTAATTAACTATGGTGCCCGCTCGGCTGACTGCAATTTAGCGTGAACCCCCAGGGAGATAGGTCGATCTAAATCTTAATCTTTAGATCGATCTAAATCTCTGGGAAAGCACCCTTTGTTTCTTTGTTACTTGTGCTGTGCAGAGGTTTAAAAAGCCTTTTGGATATGTATTTTCCCTATTTTACGAATGAGACCTTTATGACAAATTACATTTTTTTCATCAGAAATAAAGGGTAAATGAAAACAATAGAAAAGAATTTGAATTCTTAGAAACATTTAGGAAAACCCTAAATTAGAAAATAATTGATATTGAAATGGTGAAAATGATAAATTGGTGACGCGCAAATGTCAATTCCAATATTAGTAACAAAAGCCAACTATATCCTGATTGATGCTTGAAGGCAAGAGCGCTACCATTTTTACAACAACCCATACAATGTATATATTTGGGTCAGTTTTCTCCAACTTATACGGTCATTGCTTATTTAGATCTGTTGTGGACTGCGCCTGAGTTGTTACGCAGCGCGAACCGACCGCCCCAGGGGACACCCAAGGGTGATGTTTATTCCTTTGCAATCATTTTGTTCGAGGTACATGCGAGAAACGGACCCTGGGGAGATGCCAAAATGCCACCACAAGGTACATGTATGGGGTCAATCACAATTAGAAGAGCCTAGTGCTAGCTGGTCCATGGCCTAAATATGGCGGACCTACATGAAAGGAAGGCCGCTTTATCCTGTAATGGTCTCTCCGCCTCTCACACGCCTCCCCTCGCGTCGTCCCTCGACCGGACGAATTGAGCCGAGATCTAATTACCGTGCCCCTGCAGGGACGATGCGTGGGGAGGCTCTTCTCATTCTGAATGGTCCCTATGTTCAAATGTCTTAGAACATTCATACTGTAAGGCATTCATTCTATAATATGTTTTCATTTTTATAGAGAGGCTTAACGCGAACACACTTATTTGTTTTTAAAAATACAAGTATCGATAAGTGACAAAAAACTAAACTTCATATGGCCTTTTCATAGACATCATTGAGCATGTGAAGAGCACGAGTAATGTGACGGAGCCATTCCGCCCTGAAACGCACCTGCTGTCCTGCAAGCCACACATCGTGAACTGTATAAAACAATGCTGGACAGAGAACCCAGACGACAGACCGGATTTCAAAAGCATCAGAACTATGTTGAAGTCCATGCAACAGGGCTTGTGAGTTGCTTGCAGATGCTTCATTAATCTTAATATCACAAGCACACATATACTCCTGCACTATATAGTGCATTCGTTTTGCTATATTGCCATCTGAATCTCAATATCTCTTTCTTGTAAATCGATTTCCTGGAATTTTAGCGTGTCCATATACTAGTGTTCTTAGCAAAAACAACAATTATAGCGTGTGCATTTGGTACATCAGAGCGAGTTTTCATTTAAGGCATTCCAACATATTTGACAACATGATAGCTATGATGGAGAAGTATTCTAACCACCTCGAGGACCTAGTGGATGACAGGACCATGCAGTTATCAGAGGAAAAGAAGAAAACCGAACTCCTGTTACTTAGAATGCTGCCACGGTAGGATTGTGAGAATGACATTGTGCTAGATGTGACAAAATATGAGCTCTGAGAAGATGAGGCAGTAAAGGGTACTTGTTGAAAAGAATGGATAACAGAGTGCAACGTTCAGTCTCAAAACATGTCCTTAAAAAAAATTGAAACGAATGTCACAAGCTATCAGCCTCTTTCTATCATCCTGCATTTAGCTTGTTTACATTTCTACTTGCTCACAAGAGACAACTTTTAAAGACAGGTTTCAAAAGGTTTTTATTATTTAGCTGTTTCTCGTTGTAATTTAGTTTTAATTATCTTTTTAATACACTGGCATTTACCGTTTTATTTCCACATCTTAAACTTAACTATTTTATCATTATTATTACTTTTATTTTTTCACACATATTTCACTTTTAAGAGCTCGGACAGAATCCAATTTCTAATGTATATTTTACATATATATTAACTGAAGAAATTATTATTATTACTATTATTATTATTATTATTATTATTATTTTTATTATTGATACAGAGTTGTTTATGTATTGCTCAAATATTTCATGGGCTATTCTTGGATAGATTGTAATACAATGCACGTCTCAAGCTGATCATTACTGTGATAAGTGTGTCCTTCACATTTCCTTTCCATGTTCTGCAATGAAGAAGTGTGGCTGATCAGTTGAAGCGAGGTGAACGGGTCAGCCCGGAGACGTATAGCTCAGTGACAATTTATTTCAGTGACATTGTAGGATTCACTGTCCTGTCAGCGGAAAGCAGTCCAATGCAGGTAAAAAACTAGAATTCTTTTTTTTTAATTATTTATTTTTCTTGTGGTGTTCCAGTCAAAGATCAATCAGCGTTCCTAAGAGTGATTGTGTAAAAAGGAGAGGATGCCGTGGTATTTATCTGCATGTGGGTGAAGGTCTAGAAGTGGTCTGCGGTTTACAAATGAACAACAAATTAGAGACGTGATCGTTTACGGCCTTGGCGTATTGATTGAAGGTGCTTGTTGCACGCTAAGTGCGAGATTCGCCGTCAAAAACATGCAGCAGAAAATGGATACGATAGCTGGTGGCACAATATCGTGTTTTTAAATTTTGCATTGTAAGAAACCAGTGATAACTACTGTATTGATTGCCACATCCATAACAACCTTAAATGCCTGTATTTACCACTTGATAGCGGAAACTGTCCAATTTGTCTGTTTATTTTTTTCCAGATAGTAGACATGTTGAACGACTTGTACACTTTATTTGACTCCATTACCAGCCACTATGACGTGTACAAGGTGGAGACAATAGGGGACGCCTACATGGTGGTGAGCGGCCTTCCTTTACGCAATGGTGACAACCACGCAGGAGAAATAGCATCCATGTCATTACAGTTGCTATCCGCCATCAAAACGTTCAAAATACGCCACAAACCCAATGAAATGCTCAAGCTGCGAATCGGTTTACATTCAGGTACCTGTTTTCAAGTTGGGATCAAGCGTTGTGTTATGGTGATGATTTTTTGCTCTTTGAATCTTACTCTATCCCTTGAGTAAGCCTACATTGTAATGTTCTGTTATACGCCACTTTGCATAAATAGAAATTTGTGTCTATTTTTGGGATATTATCAGTTTCCAAAATTTCCTTTAAATGTATTTATACTTTACTTGTTTAAACAACAGTTCTCTTAAGCTTGACGTGCTTCAAATATTTCAAACGTTTTTATCATTTGAGTTCCCCATCTTAGTACTGTATATCTAACAAGTATATATATTTAATATTATTCCACTCTTGCTTGACTGGGAAACATACAAATGTGCCTTTAACTTTTGATGTCGTTTCGTTACATTCAGGCCAGTGTGTGGCCGGCGTTGTTGGCTTGAAAATGCCTAGGTATTGTTTATTTGGAGATACAGTCAACACGGCCTCAAGGATGGAGTCAACCGGCGTAGGTGTGTACAAAAATGTATTATGTTTCCATCTGTTTGCTTTAAAAAATGTTAGTATTATTACTGATGCATCTCAGAAGATCTACGTTACAGATGTCAAATATTATCCTGTAACTTTTCCTGTAACAGAAGGATCTTCTGTAAAGTAGTGGATTATATTTGACATCTGTAATGTAGATCTTCAGAGATGCATCAGTAGTAATACTTATATTTTTCTTAAGATCTACACGGTCAACAAATACTATATAGGCTAATTTTGTTTTCTTTTGAAAGAAATGTTTAGATATGACCACAATCATATTATAATGTTACTTGTAAATTGAATCAGTCAGCGCCAATGGTATCTCTAAATGTCAGTTCTTATGCTTTTCAGCATTAAAAATACACATCAGCATGGCCTGTAAGCTTATACTGGATAAGCTTGGTGGATACCAACTTGAGGAGAGGGGAAACATTCATGTAAAGGTAAAAGGCCATTATCAGTGACCTGTTCTTAAATGTGTGCATGTGTAACTGTGTGTGTGTGTGTGTGTGTGTGTGTGAGAGAGAGAGAGAGAGATTGTTAATTCGAAAATTAACGGACTTTTCATTACAGGGCAAAGGAGAGATGACAACTTACTTCTTACTGTCGGAAGACACAGCATTCCGTTCGCGTAGACTTGAGCAGCAAACAGTGATCTCAAACGGCAACCCGAGCTCTACATGCAACTTAGACACCATCCTAGGCGAGAAGGGTCTTTGTAGACCAGTTTCGAGACACAGCAGTATGACCAACAGTAACTGGAGTTTGTACAATAACAGAGCCGTCCAGCATCATAAAGGCAGTAGTGACTGGAGTTCAAAAATGGATTCGCCTATATTCTTCACATCAGATCTTCAACATGGACGGAAATTGGGCGTTTTCCCCATCGGGAATGAGGCTCGAGGTATGAAGAAAGGCTTTCAAAATTCGGCCTGTGGTGGCAACTGGGAATCTCGTGTGTGAAGAACGTTAATTGTATTGTGTTACACTGGTCCTACATGTAGCAAATTCGTAACTTTTAAGCAATGTTCTGTACAAGTGGAGTTCGTTGGAAATAAAGTTCAGTATTCGTAAAGAAGAACTATTAATTGGATTGTCTGGAAGCACGTCTTTGGATAATCACACAAACGTAGTCTGTTCGTATATAACCGACACTGTTTAATTTATAGTATGCATTTATGGATATATAAAAAGTTTATTATTTTTGTGGATGTTAGGACGTATTCTTTTTTGCCGACTTCCCTTCTCTCTCTCTTTCTCTCTCAAATATATATGTATTTGTGCTCCACTGAAATAATGTTACATTTGTTAAACAATGTTATTTTGTATATATCGACATAAAATGGTTTAAAAACTGATTTTTAGTAATTTTAGTCATGTTTAGTTTAATACATTTTAATGAACCATGTATCGTTTATCCCAAAACAATTTCTGAAATATTAACGAAAATCAGTATGATTTCTTTTCGCGAGAAAACCCTACACAGCGCACATTTAACTGAATATTCATCGAATAAATCATCTCAGCATTGTTGGCGGTGAGGTAGTCATTCAAAATGTTTTATCTTAAAACCATGGCTTTGTCAGTGCAACTTTGTAAATATTTTACATATTATCACGTAATCATCTTTGTCGCAATGCGCTTGGGTGAAAGTTGTAAAAAATGAAAATCCTGAAAAGTAGCTTGCAATATCTCATCGCATTTAGACCATATAAAAAACTATCAAAATGAAGAATAAAAATCCTGAAATCTGGATCTTGAAAACGTTCACCTAGATGAATGCGTTCTCTGTCAACAGATGTCTTTTTACTACCCGATAACATATTTCAAGTGTTTGAAGAAACTTTACAACCAAGCAAATCAATTGAATCTCAAGAAAAGACATCGTTCCTGGTACCTCCGCTGAAATGTTTGTTTTTGTTGACTTGTTAGTTAAAATTTTGAAGTCAAAGGTAATGGACGGATCGGATTTTTATCACTCCTTAAGGATAGGTTAGATAAGAATCGATTGCTTTTTGGCTAAAATTCTTTATGGATTGAATAATTATCAATAATGAGAATTCAGCTGTCTTGGCGGTGGTTTCCCCTCTCTGAGTGCTTTTCTAGTTAGTTGACATTTTCGAGTAGTTATCAGTTCAAGAATAGTCTCTCTTTGCCAAATCAATACAGTTTCCGATATCTCTGTTAGAATGTAAGTCATATGCTTTGAGTGTGTGTGTGTGTGTGTGGGGGGGGGGGGGGGGGGGTTAGCGGTATTGTTATTTATTTGACAACTGGGAAATTAAAGGTTAGTATTTATTTACTCAATCACGTTCTTTTTGAAAAATATTTCATAATAGTGTAGGGTTAGTTATTTAACTTACATAGAAGCATCGACAACATACGCTGCACATTTGTACCGTTAGCATTATATACTTAACGCATCTTTATTTGATTACTTATACACTGGAATGTCACTTTTGTAATGTAGATGAAAGCAGATAAATTGTCAAATTGATAAAAAATATACATCTTAATAATTGCAGTTTTCAACCCACTCAAGCAATTTTGACATGGCACATACATTTTTGAAATAACCGTTAGAATTCGCTCCTTGAATTTGATTTAACATTTGCATTTCCTACAACCGAATAAAAGTGATCACATGTGCAGTTACATAGCTACCCTTTGCTGACTAGTTAGTTTTTTACCCCACGTATCAAAATGCCAATATTATTTAAGAAAACAATGCCCATTATCAGAATGCGAAGGTTGGAAATACATCTATCAAAAGCCGAAATCATCCGGCCTAGACAAAATCTATTTCTACTTTGCATTTGTGGACACTTAAAAAAAATAAATACATGAATGTTTAACACACGGTATGTTTTTGAAGTATAACCCAGCGTCACAATATTCGCGACATAAAGGCACAATGTAAAATGTACTTTGACAAATCTATGTATAATGTAGTGAAAACATATGGGGACTTTAATTCAGTGCTAAAGACATTGCGTAAAACAAGCCCTAGTAGAAAAATATCAATCAAACGTCTGTTTTGACGGTAAAAACTGCCATGCCTTACACCATGTTAACAGTCTTAAATGTTTTGGTAATGCTTTTAGATTACCTGAATTTGTTTTTGCAAGAGTACATATCAACGTAAAAACTAAACAATGTATATTTAGGGCACTAATGAAACTCGTTGAATCATACTTACACAAAAAATCCCCATTTGTTGAAATGTCTAAATCTGGGTTAATGAAGTTAATGTACTAAAATTCTTTCCAACATATGGTTATTGATTTGGTCTACTTTTAAGCTGTCTGAAAAAATATGGGCATCTGATATTTTAATAAATATTAAAATGTAAAAAAGACAACAGCAAAGTGTTTAAAGCAAACAAAATCGGGTTATTGGTCAAAGTTTGCTCTCTGCCGAGTCATCACATTCAATATTGACTGAACTGTTAGAGATAACAGCTACCTCACTCGACTGTGGTGGTCCACCATTACCTACGCTTCCCTTTGTATTCCCATTGTCGTCCATTTGGCCCAAACTCTGATCCTCAGAACCAGGACTACCTTCTATGGTCGGCAGCATCTTCATTGGCAACAATCTATCAGTTTCGCTGGCATCAATGTTCTCTGTATCATTAACTAAACTGCCCAACATAGTAGGTATAGTGGCGCACTGTTTAAATAGCTCTCTGGACTTAAACCTTGGACTACGTGTCGAATAACTCCGCCTGGATAATGTCGCAGGGCTGGTGAATTCGGGACTAGAATGAGACACCGTTGAAGGTTGTTGGAAGCAATCGTCACGGAAAATGGAATATAAACGTCCAGAATTTGAGAGTTCCCCATGAAGGCCATTGGGCGGTCGAGGGGACCAGGGGTCATTGGTGCAAGTTTTTTGATGCTTAAGTCCCTTTTTAACTTGAAGTGGGTTCTCAAGAACCGGAAGGTTCAGGCGTCTCTGGCGCACGGAGCGGTTCTCTGATGTCAACCAATAAGTGGACAGATCGCCTTTTCCCTGTAACCAAGAAAAAGGGTGAATAAATATATGAAAATCAAAATCTGCCACGAATGGTACATTACTCATACATTTAACATTGACATTTTTAGATATATCAGATGTTGTCAATATGTTCAAAATGCCAATCCATCAATAACTGACAATGTAATAAAAGGAGGCAATAGATGTGCCAGATTGTTTTCAATATAAGCAACACTTATGTGTGTTGATGCGGTTTCCTTTGTCAGTAACATGTAGAACTAAACAGAATTATTTAAAATACTTTTAATACATTTCCATTTCAAAAAAACCTATCTAATTTTAAACATATTTCCAAATTCCAGCCTTACCTTAAGGTGAATCTTGCCTCTTGGCTCTACTTCATATCCTCCAAGACTTAGCAAGAGATCACGACTTTCTTGAGAACAATGGATTTTTAGAGCTAAAATAGAAATGTTCTCTTGTGATAACACATTATTTGCGAATGTTAGATAACCCTTACACTCCATGACGGCTTATGTAAGTTCATGTACATGCGTAGTTATGATAGTAGAATGGTATAATATAATTTAAACACAATGCTTAATCTATTGATGATAAAAAGAAAACGTACCACAGATGCGGGTGTTAAAATTGCATTATATAGATTTAAAGGGTTTATTGCGTTAAATATGTAATAAAAATGCAGCTTACGCTCCCCGTGTGACTCCATCCTGGAAGCTGTGTTCACTGTGTCCCCAAACAGGCAGTACCGTGGCATTGTCAACCCGACAACACCAGCGACACACGGACCTGAAACAAACCAATCAGTATACGAAATTTTATACATTGCTAGCTAGTACTACTGCTACTGTATTAGGGTCAGTAATCCGAGCACCTTGTCCATAAAATAGAACTAGTGACTAATAGACGGTAAAATAAATTATAGATTTTTTGTGAAATAAATTTATATTTCATGCTGTATTCATATGGCACCATTTAGTAATACATATGAAGCTAATAACATAAAATATTCCGATATAGACTTATTATGAAACTGAACCGTTGTCTTAAAAAGGTGTACAAACGTATAAAAACAAAACAAGAATTTCTAGGGTACTATGTTCAAAAGCAACTGTCAAAACTTCAAATAAATAAAAGAACAATCACCTGAATGCATGCCAATGCGAAGTCTAATCGTTTCTCCCGGCATGTGTCTTATCTGGAAAGTTTTAAGTGTTGACAAAAGATGCAGCGACATGGACGCAATCTCTCCCACGTGACTGTCGCCATTTCTGATGGGAAGCCCGCTCACCACCATATAGGCGTCTCCGATTGTCTCCACTTTGTACACGTCATAGTGACGGATTATAGAGTCAAATAACGTGTACAGGTCGTTCAAGAGATTGACAACCTAAAGTTTAAACGGACTATTTTAACAGAAGTATTAGTTACTAACAGTAGTCCATGCGATAAGACTTCGTTGAAATAGACAAAGAAAAATAGGCAAAGTAAACAATCTGTCCTGTATGATGAAAACGAGTGTAAATATTCTTTACGTTGTCGAACGTTTCTTGCAAACAAGTGTGGCTGTACCTTGTTTCGTCTTGTTACGTCGTGTGTGTGTGTATGTGTCTGTGTGTGAAAAGGAGAGAGAGAAAGAGGGAGAGAGACCCGCCTTTTACCTACCTGCATTGGAGTACTATTAGCTGAAAGCTGAGTAAATCCACAGATATCACTGAAGTAAATGGTCACACAGGAAAATGTTTCTGGTATAACTGGTTCACCTCGCATTAACTGATCAGCTACGGACCTACATAATTGATTGGATGCATATAAAAGCAGCACTATGGCAGTACAGACCACTCTTGCAACTGGTCATGCAAACCGCACATACAGATTAAAATGCATAAAGGCTGACCAAGACATTTGCAGAATATAGAGGCAACGCCATTGCAAGAAGTTGTTACTTTTAATGTGGGTTTTTATATATACAGACAATTTGTAAAGATTATCTAAAATGTAATTTTTGACTTAAATATGGGCTCGAGGGGTCAATATTTTTGGTATACATCGGGCCCTGTAAAGATAACCGACTAGTACATTTATTTTACAAAAGATACCAATTTAACACTCACTTGGGAAGCATTCTGTGCAGAAGTGCCACTGTCTTCTTTTTCTCTTCAATAAGTTGGAGAGTTCGTTCGTCCACCAGAGACTCCAGGTCACTTTGATACTTTTCCATCATTGCCATCATGTTGTCAAATATATTTGACTTCCTGATAAAAACAAAACCGAATGAAATAATGAAAGGAGACCCTTTCTTAAACGCACCCCTATTTACCATTGGGTGGCCGTATCATGCTTAAGATTCCTATTAATCATAATGAACATTTGCAGAAGGTGCTGTTATGTCTACGATATAGTATGTTGACATACAGTGCAATAAATCTACAATTGAAGCAGTACACTACCAAGGTTGAAAATAAATTTAAGGAGATAAATAACAGACGATTTTCTTCCGTATGCAAACGCCCTATTTTTGTATTTCCCGTTTTTAAACTTTCTGTCTGTTCCTTTAGTCTCCTGATGGTACTTGTATATGATACTGGACGGCAAAGAGATATCAAAAGCTTAAGTTAAAGGTAATAAGGATTATAATTATTTGTAAAACGTACATGCCGGTTTTCATCCCACGCAGCCGAAATCGTATTTCTTTAAAATCCGGTCTTAGGAACGGGTTTTCGTTCCAGCAGTCGGCCATACATTGTACTATATAGTCTTGGCACTGCAAACCGGATGTCTTCGGACGAAATGGCTCCGCCTCTGACGAATCTTGGACCTTTTCAATGATCTCTTCATAGAATAACAATAACATTAATAAATATTCTTTAAAAAGAGGTTTAGAATGCGTTATGTATCTGACAAGTAATAATAAGAGGAGAAAAAGTGACAAGTGTAAGCACAACAACAACGAAAACGACACTGTTAATAGATGTAAACATTTTGCAAATTTCATCAAAATAGAAATAAGTGTTGGCACTCGTAAAACTTCACGTCAAAACAATAAGCCTGGCATGAATTGACATACAACGATGTTTTCAATTCAATAATCCACACCAATCACCATCAACCACAGAGTATGTCACTTTATTGTTTAATCTAAAATCGACGCCCAACTCTGCAAACTGGAGCTATCTTTCTTATTTTGTCAATAACGCATAATGGCAAAAGACACTCCACTCACTGCTAATAGACCCTGTAATTGTTATTAAGTGGAAATGAAACTTGCCCTTGTTTACACTCCTGCGCCCAATGATTTCCAAAATATCATTTCACCAATTGGCTCAGAAGCAGCCATTCTTGCGATTGATTCCGAGAATGTCTCTTCGATTTCTAAAGTAATTGTTGTTTTAATCAATACACTTTATACATTTATTTCCTATCAGCAATAGGAAAGACGGAGGCCGAAGTTGGCAGTACTCATAATGTTTCTTAATTTTTTTAGCAACACTACCTGATTCAAACAGTGAATTTCATAGACTTCCCACCCACAGCCACGACACAAAGAAATATTTTCTCACCAAATCAGGATAAATAAAACAATCCTCACGAAGGGAACGCTTTGTAATATGTCCTTTTTTGACTAGCTTTATTTTATTTTTTTTAAAGAATGGTTGATCCAGTACCTCTCGCTGTTAATTCAGTATCTCCCCAAGGTCCGTCTCGGGTAATTATCTCATGAAGAATGATACCAAAAGAATACACGTCTCCTTCTTGACTGCCTCGTATACTTGGGCTACGCAACAGTTCCGGTGCTTTCCAAAGTAAATCTGTAAAACAGCCAAGGTGTTTTTGTTCAACGAATGCTTCATTATCATCAGCGAAATACATTTTATTTCCAGCACTATATGTTGATAAAACTTTAAAACCAAGTACGGTCGTCCCGCTGTTGTCAGGCAGATCGACAGACAGACAGACAGGAAGACAGACAGACACACAGACAGACGAACTGCCATGAAGTTGCAAACGGAATAACTGTTGCACTATGAAGTTTGAGCGAAATACATGTAGTTATTGGGAAAGCTTAGCTAAGAGTGAACGAAAAAGATTTTGAAATATACGTACTTCTATACTTAACAATTTCATTTTCTTGTTCCAGTAACTTATTCCTTATATCCAAGAACCCAAAGTCTGTGATTTTCAGTGTCCATCTGCTGTTAACCACGCAATTGGTGCTTTTGAGATTACCATGATAGTAAACACTACTCTCATGCAGAAACATTATTCCCTGAAAGTAAATATGGATCAAAAATGAAATCATTAATAGCCAGTCAACAGGATATTATTGTTTGATCCTGTCAAAGCACAATACCCAAGAGGGCGCAGAGAGAACAAAACAACAGAGCTGTTTGATTCTAGATTCAAACTAGGAATCTCATTGAAATGTAAGGCTAGAGAATGCGTCATTTTCTGTATCAAATTGCATTGCACGTTCAAAGTTGTCAGTCTATATCATTATACAATAAAATGCAAGCAGTGATTTTCTGCAATAAAACTATTATTATATATATTCTTGACAGACACTTTAACAAACGTATGTTGCACCGACATGACACTTGACAAATCTTACCTTAATTAGGTCAAATACAAGAGAGGCAATAAACATCGCGTCAAGCTTCATGTCCTCGTTCTCAAGAATATCCTGAAATACAGTTTATTATATTTATATCTATGTGAGTACAAATACATTAACAATGACATACCTCTGCGAAAAATTAAAAGCTCACCCTGGAGAACAATCAATTTTCATATAGGGGCTGGATTGTACTGCCATAAAATGTACAGTATATACCTTTTAACTTTCACTTACACTTTTTATTTTTGACAAATGTAAAAGGGTCTAAAAGGGACAATTTAATCAAGATAACTGATTGAGTACTGTTGGAAATATTCATCACCTTTGGCTTCAAGAGTCTACAGTCTTGAATTCGGTGTTTGGTACGAAAGTAGGTGAACCTACACTACAAGTACGTATTACTTGCCTATATTAGATCCTTCTATATGATCACGATGTCTATTCTACAATTTTAATTATTAACATTAACAAACCTGTAAACTGCCCTTGGCGCAGTACTCTGTGACGATTATAAAAAAGTTGTGGCCAACGCACGCACCGACAAACGGACAGATATTGTCGTGACGGAACTCTTTCATCTGAAGCAGAAAACACAGCTTTGGTTCATTTATACACATTCCAATCAAAGTCTTATTCGTAAGTCAGTAACAATTAAAGATACACGTATTAGTTAATTCCGCGTGGTAAATTTCAAAAGTTGCAATCAAGGAATGAACTGAGAGAGTACCTCATGAAAACTTAAAATATGGGGTAATTTTGACGGATGTTGGATTATACGTAGGCGGATACGAGGGGGATAGAAAAAGAGGTTTGAAAAATATCCTGCGCAGGACGTCTGTATAAAAATACACATTTGGGGAATTATGAGAAACGTGACATATCAGTGACAAGTTCAGACATAAAAATAAGTAGGAAGAGGTGCATCTGTCTCACTCACCCCTCTGAAAGGATTTACCTTAAGGTAAGAATGAATTTTCACAAAATTAAAAACCCTCTTCAGAAATATATATCTTTTATATTTTCGATTTGCATTAAATGGAAAAACTAAAGGTTCTTCATGAAAAAAAAAAACACGTCATAAGGCCAAGGAGTCGTTTAATTATGAGTATCATAAAACAATCACTGTTTGGCACCTACAAGTACTTATTGCTTGAGTGCTGTCGACCCTTTCGTCGTGTATATCCGGTTACAGAGAAAGTGTGGTACAGACCCGCTATTTTACAAAACTGTAGTAAGCACATGAAGCAACTTACCACTTTCATTTCTTTTTTCATGTCTCTGTTTATTTCAAGGCCTTTCTTGCACATCTGTTTCAGCGCCACCACCTGGCCGTTATAGGTACCAGTGGCAGTAAATGTATGGAAGTTGGAAGATAGTCTCGAGTCCATGGAACCTGGAGTACTGATGATTGTTACCTGTAATTAAAGAAAAGGATATATATTTCGTGACTGTTTGTGTGTCTTTTGTTTGTTCGTTCGATGACATGTACACCCGTACGGCTGTTTCATTCGTTCTTCATCTTTTTAGTGCGCCGTTTTGTTCATTTCCTTCGTTCGATCCGCAATTTTCATTCTACCAGGAATAACTATTGTTATTCATGTAGTTAGAGAGAGAAAAGAAAAGTTTTATTTTCTTCGCGTTAAGATGGTTTTCTGTAAGTAAAGTTACCACTGTCACATAATGAAAACATATGGATGCATTTCATCTTATAAGAGAACAGCATATGCTTGCAATATTTCATAACTAACACATTAATGTTATCATAACGTCTGGACAAAATATATCGGCAAAGTAGGATACTGCTGGGTAATCGTAATTCCTCTAATAAATGAATATAAATACGTTCATGGAATTATGGAATGGATATAAATGTCTCTGTAGCTTCGCCGGTAACATAGATACAGTGTGTACACTGAGCCACTTAATAGATAAACCAGTTTATGATTTGCATCTGAAACATAATCATTATTTTCAAAAAAATACCTTAATATACAATTATGTTTCATTTTGGAATATTATTTTTCAAAAATGCTCTTGAGAAACCCGTATTAAGATTGCTTCTCATTCCAAAGGTTGAACGGTGCAAGCAACTTTTTAAATTAAAATATTACATGTCGGCGCCTTATGGTCAAAGAGCGTAATCCAACATATACGTTACGTGAAAATAGTGCAATGCTAGGAAAGATACCCAAAGTGGATTATGAAAGCGTCCTTAATGCGTTGGAAATAAATATACCTTGCTTCCGGATTGATCCTCTGTCAGTAAGACATTGGAGATACCTTTGATCTCATCCACGTTGATTCGCCACAGTAAACCAGCTATTTCTTGTTCATAGCGCCGCTGTCTGTACAGGAAAAAAATAAATAAATGCTTTTGGATAACTCATCGTTAATATTGTGAAGTCTATAAACACAAAAGAGGCCATACGTTCCAAAATTTTATTATCTGTGGGCGACATGGAAAGAGCTCAGAAGGCAAGAAAATATTGCCATAGGAAAAAGTATATATTTTGGGAGACTGGTTTTTAATCAGTGATTCACTAATTAAGATGACATTAAAAGGAACATGCCTTGACATTTCGTGACATATAGCGATGCACAAACTACAAATGAAGATCACCTCAGTTAAAATGCAAAAGTGATTACATGCACAGTAGCGCGTTTCCTCATTCTATCAAAAGGTCGGGTAAACACGTGTGACACGGTGTACAACGCATAATAACCTTGGGTATGATACAGATAATATTAGTGAGTTTAGGAATTATCTGCCTTCTTACATTCTTTGGTGAAACAAAATGTTATTTTTGCAAAGTACAAGCGATCTCTTTGGTCTTTAGACAGGTTCCTCAAAACGGCTATAGGCTTAAATTTGGTCTGAACTTTTAGAACCAAAGTTTGGTCTAAATCTGCTCAAGATATTCATACATGTAGTGGCCCACTAAGTAAAGTACCTATTGCTTTAATGCCTTAGGTATGCGTCCCACCTGCTCTTAAACAGACGCAATGTTATATTTAATAAGACTACGGCTGATTTATCTTGTGTTGAGGTGGGCAATAATGTGACCTAAATGTTTAGATAAGTTTTAGTGCACAGGTTTAATTTTACAACAGGTCCCTGTTCACTTCAGTTTTTATCAATTAACATGACAACTGGAAAAACAAGATAACAAAGCGCAGTCTTAGTCAGTTTCTGATCAAATTAACCCAGATATTGGTGTGTCCTTCACTGGCTTCGCTACGTGACGCAGCCGTATGATTGAAAAGTAAAGAGACAAAATCGTCTTTATCTTCGAGAGGTAGGCCTTAGCCTTTTTATTCAAAATAAAGAAAAGGCAGAACCATTTTTTTGGTAAAGCTAAGCTTACATCATCGGTATTGATTAGTCAGTACGCACACGCTGTTTTGAGGAAGAATAGGAATATCAGTAGCCAAAAATCAGTGACGAGCATTGGAACGTCCTAAGACCAGAGGCTATAATGCTCCTATTTCGTGATAATGATTTGCGTAACAAACGTGTATCTCACCCAAGAAACACACGTGTACCCAGTACACGTGTGTTACACAATTGCCAATTTTGTGAAAATAGGTTCTGTTTTTTTTTTACCTCTAGTTTTAAATGCATGTACATTTAGTTCCTGGAATATGCTGTACACATAATTATCTTTTAATCATTTGTCCTATTTTAGCATTCCAAGTTGGGACATAGAAAGTTTTAGACATAATTTCAGCAGTTTCTCAAGGCAACAACAACCGTGTACCACTCACTCAGTCTACGGCGGAATTCATTAACCTAAATGAAATAGCAGTAAACATACGTTTTCAAATATTTTTTTAAAAGCATTTCTTATATCATCGACCAAATTAAAACATCTTACCTGTACAAGAATAGAGCAATGACCCCAGTAACCAACAGCAGTCCCCCTATCACGCCAAAGGTTATCTCCATTGTAAAATCTGTAGAAAATTATCAAGGCATTACATACCAAGCATTTGTTTGGTCATTTTAGAAATACGATATAAATGGAAGATAAAGGCATTGTATATTGTAATTTTAGACACAGGGTTATTTATTTATATATTTATTATTAACCCTTTCCACCGCCATACCAATTTACACAAGCGGTTGAACAGCTGGAGATAATCGTTGCAGTTAATTTGCCTTTGTTTTATGAAATGATTGTCATGGCGATTCATTCATATTTTGCATGAACTAAATACTACTCATAAATGAAAAGGATGTTTATTAATGTAGCATGTCATATACTACATGTACATATAACTACCAGTAAATTATTATTTTCAAATGGAAGTTCTTGAATTGAATAATATATAATGCTCGTCGTGTTAATCGTGCCCCACAGTATTAGCCTTACCTTTAGGCTTCTGGCACTTCTCTCCCCTATATCCGCAAGGCGGTTCGTCTAGCGGGGGACCACCATTAATCCAGTCAATCTGCTGACCGGAGAAAAGCTGGAACTGCTGCAATATGGAACCAAAACGCATGTGGCATTGGCGTGACACCACAAACGCTACACAAAAACGACAATCTTGTTTTGTAGCTAACAAAACTTTTTTACAGTCGCTAGAATGTTTGTGATGGAAAAATAGACTGTCACTTTCACAAGGTCGTTTCGCTATCAATGCCCTTACAGACTTCTTTCACATTCCTACATTTATTAGTTTAAAGCATCCTCCCTGAGGTTATCGTGGCGCACATTTTTATATCCCATCAAGAAATCTGTCAATAGCCTACTACTCACACGTTGTGCCAAATTTTAAATACGGGGCGGTGACAAAACTTGGAAGTATGTCATAATGCAATTGTAAAATCCAACCTTAAGGTTAATGACTAAGTCTTTCCTAGCATTGACCTACACGGAATCGCCAGGTGAATGCCAATTATGGTTAAAGGTTAAGTGTCAGACAGGAGCCAAAAGGCAAGTAAGACAGCTGTGAATTATCATGGCCGCAAGAAAGAATCGTTAACTGGTGAAATAACCGATTATTCTGAAACTGTTGTTCTCCAGAAGAAGACAACTAATGAGTCACTTGTTGCTTACAAATACCGTGTAATTTGGTGGAATGCATTACATCTTACTATTAATAACATGTGAAATTCAGATGTTCAATTTTAAGAACATGGGGCCATTTCTCAAAAGAACCCAAAAAGTGATCTCAAATTTTAGACCAAAAAGCTAATTAATTTGATACAAGAAAAACCAGTAGTAGTTCAATTAAATGGAACACTGCGTCTGTTCAACAATGGAAGAGACACGTGACTAATGTTTCAGACCATACCTACTTTATTTATGCAGACTAAAGAGGGTTTATCTTGAAGTGAATAAGATCAAATTTGGGTCTAAAAGTTTAGAATAATTTAAGGGTTGCAGCTGCAATATGAAACCGGTGTGACGGGATAGATAGTTCCCTAGAGTCCGGTTCCCATTAATTTGCACAGGTAAGCCTCGCCCTAGATTGAAACCAACTTACGTCAGGCTAACCCTAACCTGTATAATTAAATAGAGAGTGAACTCTCTGTTAGAAGGACCCCAGTTTCGTCACACCGGTCCTGGTGCATGACTCGTAACGTCAGCGGAATACTGACAAGGTTTAACTGATCTACACCTGTAAACGTGTGACGTACAGAGTAAATGCAGTGTCTTCTTTTCTGGCTAAAATCCAGTTAATGAATCCCAGTTTTTGTGCTAACAGCAACCAACAGGCGGAAATACAAAGTGTTTTTTAAACGAGTGCACTCAAAAGCCCGATTAATAGTATACTGACTACTCAACAAACCAGGAAACATTTTCTTTAGCTTGTATGTATAATCATCAGGTGGCGTAAAGGTATAAAGAGAAACGAGTCCATCCAACAGGTCTATTTTAAGATATATTTCTGAATACTGAATCAAAGGAGATCCTAATGTCGGAGAAATTATATGGGTACTTCTTGGCACAAATTAAAAACCCATCCCCACATTACATATTTCCTAGTTAACCAACGAGATACAAAACACATTAACTAACTGATATCTTTCGGCCTCTTTGCAACCTCACAAGTGAAATAGGAGGCGCAGAATCGATTGTTTGGTAACAGCAATAATTTGTATGTATGAATACAGCATTATATTTGGGTCAGGTTGCCTGACTGAATTTTTAATATAAAGTTTTATTCTTACGGTCACAATATTAAATACTTGTAATAATTAGTAACAATGGCAAATTATTTTTTTCAATTTAATTCATAAGTGGGCTAATAAATAGGGCTTATATCAAACAATTTATTCCCGTGTTGGCTTGTTTACTTGTACTTTGTATGGCTGTTGGTGAGAATATTTTGTGAAATTTTAGAATGGACAAGACACAAAAAAAAACTGAACACCGAATCAATGGAGAACCTAAGGTACGAGAGAGGAATGCTATGCGTATTTCGTCGACCATACTTCAACCCCAAGTTCCCACCCAATCCCACCCCAAAATACAGTTTTTTATAGTGAACTCATAAAGTACACAACACATACCGGCAGTTGCTCTTTCTCTTCTATGATAAAGTGGCCGACTGGCAGCATGGAGTAGTTGGCCCTCTTGGAGTGGAACGGTCTACGTGCGAGGACGGTGTAGTTTCCTTCTGCATCCCCATTCTTGTCAATCTTGCACAAGAAACCTTGAATACCTAAACACATATGACATATAACAGACAATAAAAATTATAAATCGATTGATTTCTATTTCATTTTTATTTCTACATTTTATCTGTCCTCGATATCTGTATAGTTACAATCAGATGGCTCATACGGGGTACATGTGCATAAAAAAATTTAAAAAAAGTCAATGTACAATCAACTAATGAATCACGATGGTAAGTGTACAAACATGCTTAAATGTGTCGGGCAATCAGATCGGGTCATCTTAGCAAGATGTCCAAGAGCACACCTGTCACAATATGACAGCTAGCCGGATGGGATATAATACTCGGAAGTCTGCCATATTTTTATGTTTTGCCGTTCGTTCTAATATCGATTCATTCACTGATTTTATCTGGCAACAGTGCAAAGAGGAACAATATTGGACATATGTTCCTGTAAATCCCCGGAGAACCATATTATCGTCAAAGCCCTTTTGCTTTTGATAACCTACACGAACTAGCACATCCTGAACTAGAATATACCATATGTAAATGGGAGTAATTCAGAGCAACTTTTTCACCCCTGCTCCGCTACTGAAGAGATCCAATATTGTGGTCACAGTGCAAGCGATATTTCATGTGCTCATGTGCTAAATTCTACAACTGAATGTAAATCCTGATCATAATCTGTCAAAATTTCATGAAACAAACGCTGAAGATTATGTCTCGTACGCAGCAACCGACATACATGTACTAGTACCACGCATAATAGCGAATCTCATTATTAACATCTCGCTGTGCGAAATAACCGACCCTTGTGAATGTCCCCGTCATGTACTGAAGACTTATTAGACGCGTTAATGGAGGAATGGTTTGGCAGTGTTTCAGTTCGAAGAACCTCCAGGGAAATTACAGAAAGAAAAGAAATGAAGTCCCCCTTTTACACACATGTTCTAATAATCGCGAGGTACCCATGGTCTTCCCTCACCTAATATACTAAATGATGCTAATAAAAAAATTAACGCCGTTCGATATTTATAACTAACGGACACTGTTTCGATTTTCAGATCCCATAGACCATTATTAACACAGATCTCTAATCCTAAAGCTGTTCTGGTGACACATGGTGCATTTGCCATAAACCGTACAGATGGCTTCTACTTTGATAAAAAATAAATAATGGAGGTGGTTGGTCATTGAGCTATCTTGATGAGTCTATGTTTATCTAGATTTAGTTGGATGGCAATTGTCCCAGTTGTAGGTCCCGGGTCTCTAAACACATTTTAATACTGACGCCCACCTAGTACATCTATTGTACGTAACAGTGATGGATTTCTAAGCTAGACGGTTTTCTGATCGACATGCTCTTGGTACAAAGTTTTTCAAAAAATAAGGAAACATCCATTAAAGACCTAGAATAAGTAGTTATTCTGGCCATCAGGAAAATTATCATATATCCCCCGATTCTTTCTCGCTAAGATAAGTTTTTCCCATTTTGTTTCGTTTTTTTAGGGAACCGTATGTATTCAAATCAAAGATAAGATAAAAAATATTGAACTTTCAATTCGCAACAATTTCTGACAACAGCGTGTCTTCATTTGAATGCATTTTATGGAAGCCCGGAAAAGAACACACGTTTAGCTGTATTAAATGGCTATCAAACGAATTAAAAGTCGTGACGTTTAATATTCAAAAACACATACACGAATTGGGTACATGTACCCTGTACCCTGTACCCTGTACCACTGTACACAAATATTAAATGTAAATGATATCATGCAACTTGAAAGAGCCACGTAAACTACTTGTATGTCGTGTGTCCTTGTTGGATAAACACCGTCTAAAACTAATATACATATACTTATAATTAATTAACACTTGACTTTTATAACTTACTCATGTAAGTGCGACCAAGAATTTTGGAAATAATGGCTTTTCCATCAGTAATGTTTTCTCCCGCCTGTACCACTTTCTGCAGTGCGTCTGCATATAACATCACTGCATCGTAAAGATATGCAGCATACACGGAAATCTGAAGAAATATAAATAATCGTAACATTAAATATTATTATTATAGTATGAATACGTATAACATCACACCTTAAAATGATCTGAAATGAAAAATAGGAGCGTTAAGATCCTTTATACCACAAAAACTAATAAACAAGAGAAAGATCATAATAATAGAAGTAAAATAAGGATGTAAAGGACTTTGATATTCAATCTGTAAGCCAGACATCATTAATGTAACTTGAAACAGTTGTTGTTTTTATGTTTGAACGTTTAACTGGTAAAACTGGATGGGAGGCCGATTACACCAGTTGTCATCCATTACAGGGAGAGGTTTGGGACAATATCTGGAAAATATCGACACTAACAGCAATGGCCCATCATCGACTTTCACACAATCGTAAACATGCAAACAGACTTCAATCCCAAGAGTATAGCTAAAATAGCTGATGGTTAAAATATAAGACAGTAATATATCTAGTGGCATGTTTGCAAAATCTACAAAACCAATGCATCTCTTTTGCACAGCCCCGTCTCGTCGAGTGATTTACGAAAATCTGTAAAATCCCGCACTTTTTTTATTCCAGTTAGTTCTCAGATACATAATATAAACACTTACTCGTTTCTTTTCGGGAAAATCTGGATGTCCCCGGAAAACTGGGAACTTGAATGGTGGCAACGCATTATACTTGTTAACTTGGTCATGGAAATCTTTGTAGCGTTGGTTGTCAGGGTAGCTTGTGCTGACGATGACAAGAAGCGAGCGAGCTGCCTTCAGTAGCAGTCGCGAGTCTGGCTTGTCGGTTATTCCTGAAAATGGGATCACGAAAATAATTGACTTTCGAGCTAAAATGGCTATAAATATGTTGAATTGCTCTTAGACGTTTTGTTGGCTCTTTACATGAGATCCGTTTGATGCTCAGCTTGATTTAGGGTAGAAAGGTCTTTAAAATCTATCTAGTAACTATAAATGTATCGATATTTAGGAACGTAACGGCTAGACTACTGAGTGTTTCATGAGCCCCTACAAGCGTAGCATAAGATTTGCTTAAAAAGCAAAAACATCACTAAATGAATAAGTTGTCATCATTAAAGATAAATTTTGTCAGCTTTCTCATTTCCTTCAAATCCTCCAGTGCTTGATAATTGCAAGACTGTTTTACAGGCAAGAGCTAATTCGGTATGGGGTGGGAACTGCGCGTTGATGTTTCTAGACATTACAGATATTAAGCTACATGAACTGGAAATAAGCGTGCAACTTTTGAGGGCTTTTCCCCCCTCCATTTCAAAGAATTTAGACAAATGATATAATCAAATCAATTACTGAATGAATGAATTAAGTGACAACAACAAAAATAACAATCTAAAGAATTAATGCACGGAAAAATAGATGACAAAAAGAACGAATAGCAGGACAGACAAAAAAGGCAAACAACCTAACAAGAGCAAAAAAATCAAATACATCATAACAGTAATGAACTTACGCTTAAAAAACATTATAGGGTCATTCTGCACAGAAGTGTAGCTGTCATGGTCCACGTAGACCAAGGAATAGTTTCCACTGGCCAGAACACCCAATTTGTCTAAGTTTTCCATCAGAGATATGAGAGCGTGGTGAGTACCGAACAGAACATAGACTGAAATAACAATACACGATATGATTAACAGAGTTCGGTCCACAACAGCGGCGGTAGAATAATAATTGTTATGGACACCAGATGTGTTTTCATTAATAACCAACTTAATGGCTCTTAATGATTTACGAGGTAAGTTTTGTATCAGATTTGCTTTGTGAGCTCCTGACCAAAAACGGACGATCTCTTTATCCTAGGAGATTGTACTGGTATGTTATCGTGGGTTAGAACCGAGTGGATCATCGATCAGTTATTGAGGGCATTCAGCAAGGTTAAAAAAGATTCGCGATCTCTACTCCGTGTATCAAGAAAGCACTCAATCATCTATACAGAGCTCTCAGATCTAAAGGCTTGAGCGGATTCAATATTTCTTCTTCATTAACCCAAGAACGATGCACGAACGTGGAGCAGGTGCCTTAATGGTTTTTACATCATTTTGTAAGCAACTGCAAATCTTTTTGCTGGAGTCGTCACGTAAATGTTAATTTGTTCATTATAACAGAATCAGCAGAAATACGAAGGACAACGCGACATGAATGGATTATTATTGATGATACTGTGGGAACAATACCAATATTCTTGCATGTCAGAGGAATAAAAGAAAAAAAGCAAAATCACGACTTTTTCTCATGAAGATAACCTTCTCGAATGATAAAGGGAACTTTAGGAAAACTCTGCTAGATGATGTAATCACAAAGGAAAAAAGGAAAGAAAGTTCTACTATTACTGCTTAACCACCTACTTCTTGTGCCTTCAAAACTCTCACTGACGATTTCTTGAAATGCTTTCTTTTCGGACTCCGTGTAGCCGAAGTGCGGCTCCGTATACGAAAGTTTACTGTTAATGGTCATATTATGCATCTTTGCCAAATTCTCGACTGTGATTGCAATGGACTTGTACTTGGTGGATGAACCGTAAACCAGTGAAAACTTCTTCCATTTGTTATATTTCATCAACGAGATCACAGATTTGGCCACCTGCGTCGACGGCGGAAAAGTGCGGGCGAAGGTCGGATACAATTCCTTGTCGCTGACTAAAGGTTCCGCACATTTCTGGAAAAACATCAAAAATAAATTAAATATGATGGAGGGAACAGAAAGATTAAATTTCTTAACAACACTGCTAAGAAACTTCACATATTAATCAACAGTAACGAGATATTCAATAAAGATATCTTGTTTTTTGCAGACAATACAACATTCAAGATTCTTCTATGTACAGTTTTTTGTTCTATGTATTTATTTCCTTTTTATCATGAAATATAATAATTGAGTGTGCAACATACGGTAGATGTTACCGTAAACATATACAGAGACGAAAAAATTTAAAACCATATGAAAGTTGTAACTTTACTGATTATGTCAAATAAAATTAGCAAGTATAACGCAAGAGTGTACTTCTTAAATCATTTTATCTCACCACACCTTTTGGACATAAATGTATTACCTACTTAAAGGTATACTCTACGCTTTTGAAAATTTCCACAGTCATAATTTGAATGTCTACATATCCGTCAAAGCTACTAATCTTTCCCAAATCAGACCTTGAAGACTAAAACCCCTCCAAATTGAAGCACCTGACTTCGATAGTTCCCTCCAAATGTACAGAGACTGGTCAGTCATTTAGCACAAATTCTTTTAATTAAAAATTGAACCAAATATCTAATCCAAGAGCAGAGAAGAGTCGAGTAATCATTCGTGAGCAGGTGAAAATTGCCTTTTCCCCAGAGGAAATTCATTTTGGTGGGTAAATTCTGTACGGAGAACAATACATGCTGGAAAACACCAGAGATACTTATCGAAACGACTACTTGGTAAAGCAAAAAGTATATGAGCAAAAATGTTCATTAGCTTGGTAGTTGGATCATTAATTAAAATTATCAAACACAAGCCGAGGCATGAAATTTTTTCGTCTTGTGCCTCATAAATTTATGACAAAATGTATGGATGGGAATTTTCTGAGGTCATGGGAATTTCAGATTGAAACTTGTTTCATGGCATGTTAGTTTTGGTGACGGTTTGGCATTTCATGTGCCATGACAGCAAGAAGTAACCACTTATAAAAGGACTGTGAATGGCTATCATACAATCAGTAATCGAAAAGTACTGCACCAGTTGCAATGTTCGTGTTGTCTTTAACCACCCCTTTTTGTGACGAGAAGCTGATTTCCTGGTTGCATTATCCTTTCATCTCACACAAAGGGGCGGTTAATCGATCATGAAAATCAATTACACTTTCGTTTTTCACGTGCCTTTAATGGAATTCAAAGCATTTACCTGTAATGAAAAAAATTAGAGAAACTCTTGCAATTAAGATAGCCATCCAAGTGAATTTGCATCAGTCAGCCTAACTGCCTCAAGAGTAAAATAAAATCCGCATCAAATCAATATCTCGGAAACGGTCCTAATAGCCAATTGCGATATTAGGAACCGATAATGAGATTTAAGTGGCGGTAAAAGAGGCGATTGCTTGCAAGTTTCAATTGGATTCCCATCCTTCATGGCCGTGGGAAGGGTCCAGTTTCTTTTTCTGTGGTCGCCCATCACACCCAAGAAGGGTGGGGAAATGGAAGTCCATATTATTTTGCGGTAATCCCTTTGAGATGGCGCTTTCATTGCATATTAGAGACAAGATATCGCCGCACACGGAAATAGAATCGTTATAAGCATCGCATGTTAAATGCCAACTGAATAAAGCAAAACTGTTTTAAAGGCCGTTTCCAGGAAAAGCTTATCCCTAGCTTGAAGGAAATAGACCATATACAAAATTACGATTGAATGTGACAATGGTTAATAACAGATATTGGGTGAATCTCCTCTCTGAAAACAATGTATTGCAAGGGTTGAATGGATGGAATAAACACGGGTGGTTTTTCCATACGTAGATGTATCTGATATATCGATTACATTTCTACCCGTGTCAACATTTTTTTATTTTCACTTAGTGAAAACAAAACACATCGGAATATTTAGTAAGTAAAAGAAAAGCAACCAAGCTAGCCCCTTCAAATTATTTAACATGTTAAGATATAGATTTTGCACACATATTTTTATCGTAACCTTTAACGTGTTCATTTAATTCCTGCATCAGCTAAATATATCACCTTCACCAGTAATGAGGTTCCTGAGCGAGCTAACGGTTAATGTGTTGAATTAATTATAGGGAGGTCGTTAATCAGTCAACTTAACACCACAGATGCAAAGTTTTCAGTTTCAATGAAAAGATAATATGTGACATGTTCCTGCTCTCACTTGCAAACAGGGTTATTAAAAAGTTGTCAAGGGAGGTGTATCATTTATCCAAAACCTTAAACATGATATATTACAACTAGAATGGCTGAAGAAAATACATTCCGCTCTATTTAACGTATTAGTCCGGTATGTCCGGTGTAGAATGAAATTGCGTACCATACGAGACTCCCATGGTATTTTATTTCATAATTTTGTCTGTGTTCTGGAATACTGATTCGATGTTAAAAAATCATTTAAACAAAGTTCCCTATCAAAAGAGATAATGTACTCGGAGTAACCATAGTCCCTTGTATCTAAACTCTTTTGCGTATACTTGCTTGGTGCCATTTTTAGGCCCGTTCACGTCGAGCGGTATAGCTTTCTGTACCGCACCAGTTTGCCCTGTCCCAGCATGTCATTGTGCTACGGGGCGTTTAGTCCCTTTCACAATCCCCAACGTATTAATCAAAATAAATCCCAAATGACTGAGCTTTTCAGGCACGAGTGACTCTTTTAAGTAATTATAAATAGCCAAAATATTATGTTGTTCATCTCTGGAACTGGAGCGGTACGGAAAATTATACCGCTCGATCTGAACAGGGTCATTGTGTTACACTCTTAACCCTAAGAAGACGTACAAATTAACTGTTTGCTCTGCACACAATGAAGAAGTGAATTGGATGTTGCGCGCTGTTATGTCTAATGTCAATCAAATTTGTCAAGCTAACGGAAGACAGATTTTAACTCCCTCGAGAGAGAATGAAGACAGACTGATTGCAGTTTTGCTAGCTAAACGACGGATGCCTAATGTGAAGTAGTGACGTCATTTTAATATTGAAATGGCAACATAAGTCTTGATTAAGCATAGAAATTTTCCAATAATCTGTCATTTTCGCTTATTACGTGTCATTACTTTATTAACTGTCACAAACACCCGTTACAAAATTGTATCAAAAGCAGTTTGCTATTATAAAGAAGTCAGTTGATTTCATCAGCTTACCGCTCTGAGTCGGAGCAGAATGTAATTTGACACAGTGTATTTTGAAACGCATTAATAATAACGAACGTTATGTCAATGAATACTAAAAAAATATCAAAAATTAAAGGTAACTACAAGAAACACCCAAGCTTCCTTTATGATATTTTCTATGTGCACCAGCTATTATTCTATGCTTTTCTCCCTCGAGTAATGATGCACCTCGATGTATTCGGTACGTTTTACTTCCATGAGGTATTACGATATTAAGTCTCTCCGTGTGCAAATGTCAAGAGGGCAAGAATGTCGTGGCGGCCTGTAACCCAAGCATTAAATTTGTAATTAATAGCGTGAGCTATGGCCATTTTATGCGCTTTCATGGCGTTAGAAAGCGTGTTAGAATGTAGTTACATGAAGTCTTCGCATGAAGTGACTCGAACAAGTGAATATATATCTTCGCTAAGACTTTAATTACAGAAAACTGGGTAGCCAAGGGAAACGGGAAAGTTATCTACAACTATTCTTGAACATAGTGGATGCATGGTTAGGTACCTGTATATGGTTAAGTTTATTTCAAAGAGAGCTAACTAGAGAAAGGGGTGAAGAGGGTTTGGGGATAGTGCAATTTTACCATGGTTACTTGCAAAGTCGTCTCTGTTGTAACAAAATAGGTTGTAATGAGATATTATCCTGCCTTGAAAAATGAACTGAAGAACAGTTACTGATAAATGAAACAGAAAGAAGCATGTCGATAATGACTGATTACCTGAATAGAGATGCAGCTGTGTGAGTCACGGCATCTGTCTTTCTTCTTTTTGACTAATTACCACGAAAAAAAGCCGCCAGTGTATAAAAGGACTGTTGACACCGTTTCGTGAAGTGGAATAACAAGCTAGAGGGCAGTTTCTTGCTTTTATCTAATATGGTCAGGCATACACGATTTACCTCTACCTCGATCGCGAACTCAATGCCAGATAATGGACAATAACATATATTCAAGCAATGGTCCATTAGCTTGATTAACAGTAACCAATCGAAAACACAAGCACAGCACGGAATCTTATTGACAGTAGCTTGCCGAGAATCCGCCAATATCTAATCTATATTCTGGAGGCTGTATGTCCTCAAAGAAAAAAGTCTGATGGTGTTTTCATCGCTGGCTGAAATAACAAGGGTTTTCACCTTTAGTTGGTGCCATTAATGGCGTGCTCCTGTTAAAAAAAGACATACCGTTATTCGAATCAATACGTAAGTGGGCGTCAAATTCAACAAAGAGATATAATAAAAGTAACTAAAGTGATTATCACCTCGCATCGAGGTACAGGGGGTATCTAGTTTAACCTGCATTGGATGTGCGGGTATGTGGGTGTAAATGTTATGTAAATCTTAGAATAATCAGAAAGCGCCTTCATAATATTGATTAATTAACAGTGTGTGCCTAGTGTGTGATTGGACAAAATTTCGAGAATGACAACACCCACTGTCGTATGTTAGGGATCACTCTGTTGAAATTCGGATCAGACATCTCATTCTAGACCAAAGCAAGGGTATGTCAGCAACAACGGCCGTGGGTGTATATTTACCAGCTTGGTGTAAAACATGCTCGATGACCTAAATGCCACATTTTACTTAAAGGCACATAAAACAATGGCATTTTGCCAAAACGATGAAAGAAAGAACACTTTTTGAAGCGTGTTCAGATATCATGTCTGAACATATCAGATTAACGAAACATCTTTTAAGATATATAACTGTTAAAACAGTTATGCGCCTTTTGATGTGTTGGTTGATGTCGACATACCATTCACATTTAAAACACGGACAACACCACACACAAAAATTTATATTAATTACCACAGCTGTATCCTTTACAAAGTAAAAATGTGGATTAGAAACAATTCTTTGTCTGGTTGATGTAGCATTGGATATTGTCGTCTTTTTTCGTATATTGATTGTAGATAGGCGAAATGCAGGACCACCTTTTACTTCCTTATAAACCTACTTGCTTCAGGAGGACCCACCTGTTCATGAAAGAAATGGCAGCGTAAAGAGAGAGATCAGACATAGGTAAAACACGCACAAGTTTTACCCCGGGAACGTATTTTGTTAATCGTAAAAAGGTAGAGCTTGAAGTTCCTTAAAACATAAAATAATAAGAATTGAAATAGATGTACATTCGTCTTATAAAAAAATAGTCAAGACTTGCTTGACCACTAACTGCCTCGGAAAATTTTGGGAACAAAAGACCATTTCCAGACCTTTCCTGCACTCCGTTATCTTAGATAGTGTTCCACGGTTTACGGGGGTACCTGTTACCTCATCACGATCATTAATTCTGTAAGCACCCAACCGTGAATTAGATATTAACGAACACAAATTGATAATGTGGCTGTTTTTCAAAGAACTGTGACATTTAAGATTTCCGTTATACCTAATAATGAACCAAAAAACTTGGTTAATTAAGGATTCCCGGGATAACAACGGTGGTTTTATAAATGTAGATTCCGTGAATCATTACGTCGCCTGCTGTGATAAAAATAACAGTACGCCTTCAGACCAAGTGAAATGGTTATTTCAGTATACATTGAGAGCATCTTCTTTCTGTTTTTTATCGGAACTGTCACGTCGACAGTAGAAGTTGCAGCTGTAACAGTCTTAGTTAGACAAGTATTTTTTCTATCATTTTCACATTAATTAACAAAAATGTTAACGTTGTATTTTTGTATGCAAAACTAAGAAAAGAAAATTTATCTTATCTCATGCATAACATTTTCCAATACAAATTTTTATGTTGTACCAACATGTTTTATTTAAACATTCTCGATTTTGCAAACAAATCGAGACGAAAACTACCATTTTACTCTACCGTAATTAAAAGTCGCCATAACAATCATGACAAGACCGCTCAGCGTGCTCAGACCATAGTACTGCAACTACTCCTTTCGTGGCATCGTGTCATAATAGGTGCGTGTTACTTTGAGAAAGGAGACGTTTATTTCAAAATCAATACTTTTTCAGTCTTTCTTATTTTGAAGCGATATTACTAAGTTAGATAAGCAAGAAGATTTCATCGAAGAAAAAAAGCAATCGAAGCACAGCATTTCTGAGCATGGGACAGCGACTTAAAATTGAAGATTTTGTTTCCGTTGAAATACATGTGAAAAAATACACGTATGCAATCGTGGAAAAGTGGTTTGATCCGGTGTAACGAAACTAAGGTCTGTGTAACTAAAAGTATGTCCGTTATTTACTTATAATGGTTAGGGTTATCTGACCTAGGGGAGTCAAAATCTAGGTCGAGTTTTACCTGTAGGCCTACAAATGAATGGGAAGTGGACTCTACATGTATAATGGGGGGCTCTCTGTCACGTTACACCGGAGAACAATTTCTACAATAGTTTAGGTGAAGTTACATGGTGATTTATAGTAAGCCAAAAAGCCAGAAATTCCTTGTGCCTTTTTGAAACAATGCTCTAATGTAATTGAAAACAAGGAGAGAAAAAGTAAAAACAAATGTACATCATTTTTATTGTTGCTTAATAAAATATGTATAATAAAATCTTGGCATTGACCTTGACCTTTTAATACCATACTTCCCGTCTACATTTCAAAATATACCAAAAATATACCAAAAACTAGAATTTGGAACTGATATTCTTGGCAATTTACGTACCACGAGTTCATCAAAAAGCGATTTCCAAAACTTCGTGTCTAATGAGCGATCAAATAGCATTTGATATTGAATATTGAAACTGAGCTGTAGCATAGATTTAGTTACATGGTAACGTTAACGTAGTTACCCTGTATATGCCATAGCATGTATATGTACACACAAAGATCTGAATGGCGCACAATAGGCAACAGGGCATTCGCCTCTGACGCAAAAGATCGTGCCATCTAATTTTTGCAGAAGAAAAAAACATTACTCGTATAAATCCTTGTAAAAGATTAACAGGATTACGTTATTAGAGGAAACATGATTATTTCGTGTTAGATGATGGCTATGAAATTCAATTTACTAGTCCTGCAAACCATTTTGTCTGACATATCTGGATTGCGTATTTAGTTGACATTCAGTCCCAATCAGTCCCCGGCGCAATTTATTTTACGATGCCTTAAAAATCATTATCAGAGACCAATGTAAATGTCAATCACTGGGAAGCTACATTTGTTGAAAGCACAATCCAATACCTTCATTTGTACCTGATTAAATAAAGGAAATTGTCTTTTTTTCTAATCATTTAAACATCTTGGCACTAGCAGAGTAGAAAATTAAGTGACTGGTCAGTTAAATGCACGCATCTTTTGCTTGATGAACATGTATGAAAACCATCATTGAAGAAGTACTGTACTTATATTTATGGTTATATTTGAGGAGTTTCATATAAGGACTCAGACGGTATAATTTTGATGACAATTATTTCATTGAGAAACTGACATAACAATTAAATCAGTCTCAGCGTAAGATTCAAATAGTTCTTAAATCACCCTTCGTTTTGACCACCCGTTAGGGCTACTTCCAGATTCATCTGAAGTATCTAAATATCTCCTTAACAAACCAAAAATTTGCTACTTTTATTTCTTGTTTATCACCAGACGTATTTATTTAGGCATGTCCCCTCCTGTATGCTAGCACAATTACAATCACCCAGAATATCAATCCTATTATTAATATATCTAAGAGGGATCATGTGAGAATGCATAAGAATAAAGGATGCAACATTTACAAAACTATTATCTTGCAGCACTCTGATCTTTGGGTTTTGTTTACATGAGTGAAATGTTAGACGGGTCTGATTTGTTATGAACATAATGTCTGTATATTAGAATAGTATTAGAACCAATACCAATTTTGCAAAAATATAAAGAAAAAAGAAAAAAAAACTTAATTGGTCTGATCTCCATATGAAGGTATGCAATCAAATGTACTTTTGTTGGGTCTAGCATATGCCTTCGGATCGATCTAATGCCGCAGAAATAGGACTGTGTAATCGGACACTGTTTGTGCTTACCGTTCATTGTTTATCTAGAGATGGCATGGGCTCCTACCACGCGATTATTCCATTAACGGTGCGATTGAGGAATACACATATATTACAAGCATATCCATAAATGAAAAGCTTTTTTTCCCATATGAATGACAACAATACAGTTCAACCTGAAGAACTGAATACAAAAACTGAACACAAACCATCTATTTGTATTGTATAATGGTTTTCCTTTAACGATGAAAACACATCTTTTAAAGTAATTTTTAATGGCGTTAATCATGAAAAAACAATACAGTTCCCTTACCATCATCACGCTACTTGAACTAAATCACAGACCTAGATAATCCGTATGAAATTAGTCTGTCATCAATAGAATGATATTTGTTACAGTGAAGGGCACTGCCATAAACGTTATACAATTTTATAACCCTGCAGGCGAGACATATTGCCTGATATTATCAAAATGCCCACTTTATTTCATGTATTATATTTGGATATGAAAATATCTAATATATGCCTGCACCTACATATTCTTCATACCGTTCTGGCGCTTGAGAACGAGTGTTTCTTTACACGCTACATGCATCTACATATACATGTATCATTCTAAGGACCGTTTTTGTAATTATGTTTTGTACATGTAATTGATCTTGTGCTCTCTTTCTTTTTTTTTTACTCTGTGTGTGTGTGTGTGTGTGTG